CAAACGTAGAGCTCTACATGTTCCACACCGCCTCTGCCTTCACTTCCTTCTCCTATTTTGTGTGGGAAAAAAGCCGAAAGATCCCCGTTCCTAAAGATTTCCCTGAAAACCTTCCTTCCATGGAAGGTTGCTTAACTGACGAGTTGATAAATCTCATAACCATTCAACAGGAATTCATGAAACTCCAATCTGGTGATCTCCACAACACATGTAGAGTGATTGAAGGAGAATACATAGATCAACTAGCTCAGAACGAACTCAGAACCCGGTGGGCTATCGGACCATTAAGTCATCATTTGGGAGGAAGAATTGAGGAGCAGAGCAACTCAAGTGGGGAAAACATATGCCTGAATTGGCTTGACAAACAACCACCAAAGTCAGTCATATACATCTCCTTTGGGACTACGAGTTCTTTTGTAAAGGAACAGATTGCGGAACTGGCAGTTGGGATAGAAGAAAGCAAGATTAGATTCATCTGGGTGCTCAGATATGCTGATAGAGGAGATGTTTTTGCAGAAGAAGATCAGAGTCCCGAGCTTCCAGAAGGATTCGAAGAGAGAACGGAAGGAGAGGGGATGGTGGTGAGAGGGTGGGTACCTCAGGCTGAAATCCTAAACCACCCATCCACTGGAGGTTTCTTGAGTCACTGTGGGTGGGGTTCATGTTTGGAGAGCATTAGCTCCGGGGTGCCAATGGCAGCATGGCCAATGCACTCTGACCAGCCAAGGAACTCCACGTTGTTGACACAGGTGTTGAAGGTCGGTTTGACTGTAAGGGAGTGGTCACACAGAGAAGAATTAATAACAGCATCGGCAATGAAAGAAGCTCTGAGGACACTAATGGCTTCAGAGGAAGGAGAAATGATGAGGAAAAGGGCAGAGGAATTAGGAAGGGCTGTTCGTCAGGCTACCGAAGAAAGTGGAGTTTCTCGAAAGGAGTTGGAATCCTTCATCAACCATATCACTAGGTAGACCCATGAACAAAACAAGAAAACATGAAATAGAATACTTTTTGAATTGTTTTTAAGTTGTTTTTTCTGCTATAAAAAGTAGAGATTGTTAATGAAAATTTTGAGTTGAAGTGTTATACTCCCCTCTATTTTCGATTCTGCTCTTCATCTTCTTTTTGGTCTTTTCTCTATTTCTTTGTGAAAAAACCAACAACATCATCAAGGACAAAGGAACCAAGTTTATCTGTCCTGAACAATGTAAGAAACTTCTTCAATACCATCAAGCGCCTTCAGATGCTTTCTGATCAGGTACCTCAAGGGTCTTTTGTAATGCTTCAAATTGCTCTTCTATTAGGCACTCCAAGTCATTCTCGTCTTCCATTTCGCCATTGAATTCTGATAGAGTTACATACAGTGCGCGCTGGACTGATGTTATGAGAGGAAAAGGATTGATATTAGATAAGGCATTAAAGGATCAAATTAAAAGATCGAACTTTGCCTCCGGTTGACCTCTGATTATCTAGTTCAAACCTCCAACAATCACAACTTAAGATACAATAGCTATGCTTAAGCATGCAGCCCATAAGTTTGTTTGCTCCTTTTGTCACTGCGGCCAATAATTTTGTTTGTTCAATTGTGAGTGAGTGGAGCACATAATTTTGTTTGTTTGTTTGTTTGCCCATGTGTAAAGCCCATAATGTTACTGTCTGACAACGTGGATAGCGCAATCCATCTCTGTCGGTCAAACCAAGCAGAAGCATTTTTTGATACAAACCAAGCATTTTTTGTTTTTTTGGGTACATAACCCAAGGAGGTAATTGAGATTTTTTGAGATAAAAGAACCATTCTAGACTTTTTGGGCGGCTAATAACTTTAGCTCCTGAACGTTCTTGAAAGTAAGATTTAAACCTATGAATTTTTTTAATCGCATATGAACCCTTATATTAATAGAGGATATATTTTATTGTTCTTAAAAAAATGCATATAAATTAAATGTCTAAAAATTTGGACAAAAAAATTTTAAAATTATATTATTTTAATAAATTCTCATTAAAAAAATTAAATTAAATAATGTATTTTGAGGTCATAATTTTGAGAAATTTTTATTTTTTTGGTTCGTATTATTTTATTAAAATAGTAATTTTTTTACTTTTTATCTAATTCTTGGAAAGTGCAACTAATAGATATTAATCTAGTTTTGTAAAAAATAATAAAAACATATTTTTTGCTCCCAATGATATAAGGGCTTTTGGGTTACCCAAAAAGTTAAAGCGCCAAAGGGAGTGTTTAAATTGGTTGTTTTAATATAATTAATAATTGATACTCCTTCTGTTCCTAAATATTAGTCGTTTTAGGCATTTTCACCCGGATTAAGAAAAGCAATTAATCACTCTCAATTTGAGCAATAAATATATTTAAAGTACTATTTTACCCTTTTTTCCACTTCGAATCTTGAGTTTTACTGGTTCATCTCCCACAAACTTTCCCTGCTTCAAATATATCCTTAATTTGGATGACTTGGAAAAAAAAGTTTTCACTCATTTTTTATTCTCATTCCTCAAAATTTTTCATTATAGATAATGTTTTTTTTTTTTTTCATTTCCACCAAAAATTACTTCATACAAGGAACAATTTGATTTCTCTCAACTCAAAGTCAATGGGAAGAAGAAAAGGGGTGGAAAACCCAACCCAGATCATGTAGGTTTCTTGGGGTCAGATGGGGTACATATGGTCAGTCACCAAATGCTAAAAATCATATCAACAGTATCCAATTGACAAGAAAACAATCAGAGGTGTCTAAATCCGAACTCTCAATTTCTATATATAACCCTTATTTCACTAGAAAATCAAAGGTTTTGCTACCTATGACCAAAAATTGTTTGGTAATTTGGGTAAACCAACAATGCATCTAAAATTAAGAATTTGATTATGAAATTAAAGTGTTTCTATGGCAAGAACTACAAAATCAAAATACTTGGCCCAAAATCTCAGATTTAAAAAAGTACCACTAAAAAAAAAAAACTAAACTAAAAAGAGAGATCGCAGCAGAGAAGAAGAAGAGGTTAGCAAAAGAAAGAGAGAAATGAACGGCAGTACAAAGTTAGGTCATTTTGGCTTTTAGTTTCTATATTTATTGTGGGT